TTATTGTGTGTATTTTTGAGTTTAAATCTAGTTTGTAAATGATTTTTTCTTGAATCATTAATTTGAAAATTTTGGGAAATAAATTAGTAGAAAAATTAGTGGGATAAAAATTGGTGTTTACAGTTGCCCCCTCTTTACTTAAATTTTACTAAAGAATATGAATAATAGTAGTTTTCATATAATTGTAGTAAAAGATAAGTAAAGACTTAAACTCCAATTTTGTCTAGGGCAAAAGTTACGTGTATTCGCCACTTAGAGGAAAGATAGTCATGAGAATTTAGCATACATTGGAGAGTATAAGAATCTTAAAGTAATAACCATAGGAATCCTAAAATATCAAAAGAATAGTGGACTTTGGGATATAAAATATTGAAAGCTAAGAGCATGGGAACTCAAAATATGAAAAATAGTGAACTCAAAGATCCAAAATATTGAGAATTAAGAGCACGGGGACGTCAAATATGAAAATAGTGGACTCAGGGATCCAAAATATTGAGAATTAAGAGCACGAGGACTTCAAATATGAAAACAGTGAACTTGGGGATCCAAAATATTAAAAATTAAGAGCATGGGGACTTTAAATATGAAAATAGTGGATTCATGGATCCAAAATATTAAAAATTAAGAGCATGGGGACTTCAAATATGAAAATAGTGGACTTGGAGATCCAAAATATTGAGAATGAAGAGCACGAGGACTTCAAATATGAAAATAGTGGACTCAGGGATCCAAAATATTGAGAATTAAGAGCACGGAGACTCAAAGTATAAAAATAATGGACTCGGAGATCCAAAATGTCGAGAACTATGAGCACGGGGACTCAAAATGTGAAACAATGGACTCGGGGATTCAAAATATTGAGAATTAAGAGTGCAGGGCTTGAAACATTAGTAGAGTGAGTTTAAAGGCTCGAAACATTAATGGAGTGAGCATAGAGACTCAAAACATTAAAAGCGTGAGCTTAGAGGCTCAAAGCATTGACTAAGTGAGTGCGAAAGCTCAAAACATTAAAAGAATGAGCATGGGGGCTCAAAGCATAGAAAAAATAGAATGAGCGGATTGAGCGCGGCGGCTCGATGCATAAAAGAGTGAGCGCGGAGGCTCGAAACATTAATACGAGTGAGATGGTAGTCAAGTAAGTATAAGAAAATTTAAACTTAAGAGTTACGATAAATGCTCGATCGGTTCATTATTAATGAAATGTATGCATGATATGCAATGTGGAATGACCTTAGTGGAAAGAATTAAATGGATTTTCACTTTTCATCCTTCTTTTCCATCATTTTTTCGACCTTTGACCCCTTACGAGCATGAGTGCTCAAGCCGACCTCTTGTCAAATTATTGCATCGCCAGATAGGCTATCTTGCCTGATTAGAATAGTACAATTCAAAGCCTTCAACATCTATAATCTTCTTTAGTAGAGTTAGTTGAAGACCTTTCTTTTCTTTATGACTCTTAGAATCAAACATCGTAATTGAAATACTTTAGTTTATTTTTTACTTTATTTTTTTGTTTTTCTTGCATCGCATGTTGCACTTTTAGAATATAATAATGAAATAAACACACAAAAATGACGAATGTGAGGAATATGGGCTTTTATTGCTTCAAGGAAGAAAGTACAAGTACATCAGAATGGCAATAACCAAAACAAGGGGAGAATAACAAATCATATTTTTAGGGAAGTAACACTAATTCCCCATATCAACAACTTTGAGAACCCCATTAATTGGCCTCTAAAGGTATCAAATGCTTGCTGAGCACTTTAAACATTGCCTTGATCTTCCAATTTGCCCTAGCTTCGTACTTTGGTTGTAATATCTACTTCCTCCTTCTTCACCTTCTTATAGAAAAGGTGCTCTGATATTTGCCTAAGCTACCCTTTCAGGTTTTCTGCCCAGTGAGTCTTTCTTTTTCTTTCATTTGTTTTCATTTTTTTCTTTTTAGACCTTAACTTTTGCCTAGACCGCTCTTTTCGAGTTTTCAGCCTACCAGGTCGCTCTAAGTTTTGCCTAAACTGTCTTTTCAGGTTTTCAGCCTAGCGAGCCTTTTCTTTTTGTTATTATTTGTTTTCATTTTCTTTTTAGACCCTAACTTTTGCCTAGGCCACTCTTTTTGAGTTTTCAGCCTACCAGGTCACTCTATATTTTGTCTAAGCTGCCTTTTCCAAGTTTTCAACCTAGCGAGCTTTTTTGTTATTATTTTGTGTTCTCCTTTATACATAGTATTTCTTGACTGCATCAGAGTTTATTGGGTTCAACAGATCTTCTCCATCCATATTTGTGAGAATCAAAGCCCCTCCTGAGAAAGCCTTTTTTACCACATAAGGCCCTTCCTAAAATATAACTTATATATTTAAATATAATATTTATTTATATATTTTATTATAATTTTTAAATGCATATATAAATGTTTAGTCTATGTATTATGTTAAAATATTTGTTTTATACAAATACTATATCATCATATGCCTATCCTTTTTAACTTTGCTGGAATCTTTGAGTTAAAAAGAAACTCAAAATAAAATATATAAGGTAGAGGTATCATGCAAAATATTTAAAAGACTAAAATATTATATTGTAATTTCAAATAAAATATACTTTGAAGTTATTGTAATATTTTTGAACTACGTAATAAATTGAATAAACATTTTTATAATATTTAATTTGAATTTATTAAGTTTATTTTTTTTTTGTTTTTTCTTCTTATATTTGTATCTTAAAATGTTGTTTATTAATTAATTATTAATTATTTATTTACAATATTATTCTTTAATAATTAATTATAAAAAATTAATAATTAATTAATAATAAAAAATTTTGTACTACCTAAGTACGTATTTTAATTAATATTAATTATAAAAACAATAAAATAATTTTTAAAAACAATAAAATATGACCATATATTTTAATTACATTTGAATATTACATATTTAAAAATAACAAAATTAAAATGTTAGATATCTACTTTATAATAATTGTGCAAACATTAACTTTTTGACCAAGAAAATTACTTTGCTATTTTTATTTTATAATTGATAATCAATAGTTATTAGGTTTTAGTAAAAAAGTTGTTTTATTGCTTTATTTATATTTATAATTAAATTAATTTTTATAACATTTTTATTTTTATATAATGGATAAATAATTAAATTTAATCACTTAATTAATATAATAGTTTTTTTTACACCAATTAATATAATAGTTAATATGTTAAATTTAATTTCAAATTACCAGTTACTTTATACTATAAATAAAATTACCTTATATTTAATATATTAATTATTATACTATTTATTTTTTTTGTAACTAAGAATTTAATCAAAATTAATTTAATTAATATAATTACAAATATATACATATACACTAATTAATTATAATTTAAAATGATCTATTATTAACTTTCGTGATTTTGCAATTCTTAGTATCAATAAAAATTGTCATTAAACCTGATGTCAAAATATAGAAATAGATTGTGGAGAATTTTATAATTAATAAAAGACATATAATTCTACATAATTTAGTTATACATTTCTTATAATCATAATAATTTGAATTTAAATATATGTAATTAGGAGACCGTTATATTCAGTAAATATTATTTATGTATTTAGTTAGTGTAAATAAATTTATTAAATACTAATAAATTTATTTTTTTTATAAATAATTGAATATATACGTTTGAATTCTATACAAATTGTCGCAAAATTTTATTTTTATCAAAAAAGTTGTTTTTTTTGTTATTTATAATTAATAATAATTGTGTAATATTTATCATTTTTTCTATTTTATTTTATTTTCTTTCCTGCATCACTCATGTACTACATATTTGAAAGTGACTAATTAAGACAGTTATGCAATATCAACCGAATTTAATATGATATTTTCACTAATAGGAACACTATAGATTTTATGCAATAATATTTGATAAATTTCTTAACAAAACTTGAATATAAAGACTAAAATAAGATTTTTTAAAATTACATGGACTAAAACCAACAATTTTAAATCTGAGAGACCAAAAATAGATTTACCCAAAAATTTGAGGGACTAAAAACATATTTAAGCCGCCAAAATTTTATTACAAAAAGAAAAAGAAAAAGTAACAGTGAAAAAAATTAAATAATTGTTGAAAGATTAAGGAAGGGGAAAGTTATAGTAGGAGAAAAATCTACATTGAACGGATTAAAAGAGGAAAATTAAGCATACCACAATTCCATATTTCTCTGGCCGGCCTTTGCAATTTTACATTTTTTAATTTTTCATTTGTATTAAATATGATTATGCGTGATATAAAAATAATAAAGAATTTGCATACTTGAAAATATCAAAAGGTGAAAGATGGATAGAAAATTACATTGAAGTGAGAAATATATTTATGTAGGGTTGCTTTTCACTTTTTTTTTTAATAATTTAGAATAAATCTAATATGGAATATTAGAATAGTGAATTTAAGTATAATTTAAAAATTAAATTGTACGATAAAAGTTATTTTTCACTTATATACTATTTAATTATTATGAAATTTATATTTTTCCTAATATGCAATTCTATTTTTCTTCCATATCAATTCCGAGATTATTTCACAAATTTTTCACAGCTTTAATAATAAATATGCATGGTAAAAAAATAAAAATTTAATGAAAAGGAGAAAAATATAGAAAAGGAATGATTTACTCAATTAAGAGAGCATTGTACTATAAATAATGGATATTATTTGTGTATTTAATAGCTAATGAATTTATTTTATAATTAATAGAAAAAAAATAAATTTAAAAAGACCGAAAAATTTTAGAAAAAAATGAATGCAAACTGCATAGTTTAAAGTGAATTTTTTTAAAATGATTATTTTTACCTTTAATTATATATAAATATAAATATAAAATATCTCTGTCTGGAGACGAAGAGAGGTAAAAATAATGTTAAAGAAATGGGTGTATGATTTTTATTGTATAGTCTTAATAATGCATGAGAGCATGTTGGTTGGCATGGAAAGATGGTACTAACGCGCAAGAAAGAGTGAGTAGAGTAATAAATTAAGATTGGTAGTCTAGTCCATTATGATTTGATAAACACAAAATACAGAGACTCAAGCATCAATCAAAAAGAGAGGTGAAGGAAGTGAGGTTCCTGAAATGCAGCCACGCCTTTTCCCACACGATGGCTTCGTAATTCCTGGTGGAGGAGGCGTCGGTGGCGGCCAGGATCAGGCGGTAGTTGATCCCCGCCACCACCTGAGTGTCGCCCTTTACGACCTTCTGCAGCTTCAGCTTCTGGCCCGAACGCCTATCGTGCTCCGTCACGGCGTAGTTGGCGATCTCCGCCACGTGAGGGTCCTTGATGTTCTTGATGGGCTTCCAACCCACGGCGGCTGCGTCCGTCGCAACCACGGAGCCCAAGACAACGGAGACTAGAAGAAGGCACGCCACTTTCATCATGCTGGTAACTCCTCACCACACTTATTAATCTCTTATGAATTTTGCTTCTGTTGTGTTGCAGCTTGCAAACTTACTATTTATAGCTCGGGATGGAGTGGATGGGTTGGGCTTCGGTGGGCCCAAAACCCAATAAAAGGAAGAGAGTTGGTAGAAAATAAATAACGGGTGCATGGGGCAAATTGGGATTGAAGCTTGAAGGGGACAATCAATGTGCATTCATTCGGCACAAAAACTAAAGCATGGAGATGAAAATAACGGAGACAAAAAATCCGGAAATTTTAGGTACGCATTGACTCGACCTACAGGTTTTACGACATGTTTGTTTCGCTTCTCACTCTCACTGTCGGTTAGGACTTTTTTCCTCTCCTCAGCAAATATATTTTTCAAAAATTGAATAAAAGCAAAGTAATCTCATCCCTGTTATTATGATACAGTTCAGAAAAAAATGAATTATGGTACTTTTTATGACATATTTTACGCTTTTAAAAAAGTATTCATCCTAATTATAAGATATAAATTAGATTTTTTTATTTTAATTATAAATAATAACTATTAATTTTTAATGTTATTTAAAGTTAATTTCTTTTATACTCTTCTTCATTTCTTGTTAACTTTATTTCTTAGTTTTTATGCATTTACATATAACTAAGTAAATGATTTATTTGAAATTTAAATTTATGATAGAATTAATTAAAAATAATTATATTAGTTATTTTTCTCAAATAATTTGTCACATATTTATAATTAGAATTGGAGGTAATATGGATTTTGTTTTTCATATTTTTTTTTTGTTAAATACATGATAGTCTTTCTAAAAAAATTCCTTCTTAAAACTACATAGTCCAAACTTACTTATTTTTTTAATTTAAAACTTTTTTCCTTTTTAGAAATCAAACATTTTTTATTAGTTTTGAAACTGAGTTATTAGTTTTAAATAAATTTAATCAAGTCAATCAAAGATATCGCATTTTTAATAGTTTTTAATACCAATTATGCGTTTTTAATGATTTTTATTTAATTTCTTTAATACTTTTTATGAGACTTTCGTCATTGATAAGGATTATCGTTATGAATTCCTTCTTCACTTATTACTCTGTTATGTACTTTATTAATTTTTTATTTTTTATTTTTGTGTTTGTAGTATAAAGGTTTTTGTTTATTTATTTTTATTCTTTGTAGATGATAGATCGATGATAATGAAACTTAACACTATATATTATTAAAGGTAAAGTAGTCTTTTTGAAAAAAATTTCGCTCAAGCGTCAAGCCTACACAGTGAAAACCTACTTATTTTTAAAAAAATATCCTTTTTAAAAGTCAAACTTTTCCTATTTATTTGAAAACTAAATTATTAGTTTTGAATAATTTTAATGATTTCAATTAAAGACATAACATTTTTAATAGTTTTTAATGCTAATTATGTGTTTTCAATAATTTTATTTGATTTTTTTTATACTTTTATGAGCTTTTTGTTAATCCACATGTAATATGTTTTCTTGCTTCACCTACTATGTTAGTTTTTTGTCTTTTATTTTTGTGTTTAAAAGTATTAAATTTTTTGTTCAATTTTTTTCTCTATAAATGGTGGATTGATGATGACATGTATGATTGATTTTCTCTAAACAAATTTCCATCAGATCATAAACAATAAATTACCTAGAGTTGGCATCAAAATTGAGAGCACAGCTATCCCAGCAATCTTTAGTGGCACACCAATTTTGAGCATGTCTTGGATTTCAATATGGCCAGTGGCAAATCCAACTACATTTGACGGAGTTGAAGTTGGAAGCAAGAAAGCAAATTCAGATGCCACTGCACCAGGTACCATAAGAAGAAGAGGATGCACATGCATAGTCTTGGCTATGTGATATAGAAGTGGGATAACAAGTGTAGCAGTGGCATCATTAGATGTGATGAACTCAGTAATAATGCTACTCATTAGACTAACTGCAGGAGCAATGGCCCAGAATGGGACATCTTCCAAGAAATCTAAGGCTCTGGAAAGCACATCTGCTAGGCCACTAGATTGGACTCCATCAGCTAAAGCAAAGCCAGCTCCAAGAAGCAAAATAAGGTTCCAAGGTAACTTCTTGCATTCATTCCAGTCCATTAGCTTCTCCCCCTCTTGTTTCTTGTTTGGGATTATGAACAGTAATACAGCCACCATAACCTATATCATACAAAAGGATTAACTCTCGCTTTGATTGGAGTCAATTTTAACCATAAAACCTCAAAAGGGATGCAGTATTCAGTACTCACACTGACACTTCCGTCACCAACAAGGCCATGGAAGAAAGCTCCCCATCCCGGAATGTCATATGTGATTCTTCTTGTCATCCATAATATAATCAAAAACTGCATTCACAATACTGCCATTCAATGCCTTTCATATCAGCATAAATTTCCTCATGATTAAATGTAAAAGTTGAAATCATGTTAAGATGTACACACCCCAAACACAGATAACACCATCTTCTCGGCAAAAGACACGGGACCTGCATATTCCAATTACAGGGTTAATACTTCATCAGCTTAATTGTTTTGGATCAAATGGTTAAATGATGTTTCATTCTCTTATAAAAATTTATTTAGAAGTAACATGAATATGAAATGTTCTATTTAAATGACACGAATTGTTAAGGGAAATTTTTCTATTCTTGATTTTAAATGGATTAAACTACTATCTACGTCTTGTAATGATTTTGATAAATAACTAAACTGTCGGGTTAACTTTTCTTATTTTTTAACTTAGATTGTACTACGTATTAAAGGAACGCAAGTTGAAAAAAAAAAAAAAAACTAACCTAATTTAGATGAAAGCTATTGAGACATACCTATAAAATTATTTACTTTGTTCAAACACAACTAATTTATGGTTTTGTCAATACGGGGTGGGCATATGGATTCAAGTTTATCGGTCAAGTTGTGAAACTTTGCGAAATGCACGATTAATAAATCTATTTTTTAAAATTTTGTATACAAAATTATAGAAGAAATTGAGTTTGGTTTGCAAAATTCATGAATTTTACGAGTTTTATCCACGAATCTCTTAGATCAACTTATTTAAGAGAAATATTTTTTTTCTAATTTTATGAAAAAATTTAAATAATGAGTCATTTTAGTATTTTATTAATAAATAAATATAAATAACAAATATTAAATTTAATATATTTTATATTTAAATATATTACACTTTTGTGACTTTAATATGTTTTAGATAT